CATCTTTACATAGTATAAAATGAAGTCGATTCCGCTGTCTGTTCGCTTAGATCTTTTAAACTACTTAACAGATTTTAATGCAGTTTTCAGCAATAGATATTGCATTCAATGATTCAAGAGGCAGGTTTATATGTACAATACATGCATATTATAGTACAGAAAAGCCGAGAAATTCAAAGATTTGTATTTCATACTAACCGTTAAAACGTACCAAGGGACGAACCCAAGCGAAGCGGGGGCGAGTCGCTAGTTAATTATAAAATCCGAAGTCGAAGTCCAAAATTCAATTAAAAGCAAGTTATAATACAGTTATCAGCTACCGACTTAAGATTTCAACTGTTTTATACAAAGACAATGTATTTCATATTCACCAAAAGATTTCAGCTGCTAAGAATTGGAAAACTTGTTCCATAAAGGCAGTTTATGTTTCCAATATCCCAGATATTTTATTGATATTTCCTGTCTAAGAGCAAGAAACACTGAAATTCTACCAAACACTTATAGCTAAAAGTTTTCCTTTCAGTTTATTACAAGGTCGCATCGTAGAGTCAGCGTTCTTATCCTTTTTTTTCTTGGGACATTAACACACAGCAGTTCTAGTTCCATGGTAAGCTACGAGCCCTTTGTTATGGTAGCTGATACACTACACATATATAACTATAAATACCTACATATTACAAATATAAACACCCATGACTAAAATACATTCGTGCTCATCACACAAAAATGAATGCCCCCAGCGGGACACGAATCCACGACTGCTGGCACAGCAAGTTCAACTTATCAATTTGCTTTCTAACTTCTGAAATGACGAATTTTCATACCAAGTTTCATTACATATCTAACTTCTTTAAAATATGTTTTTTGAAGTGAAACTTCTTTAGAATCGTTGTGATTTGAAACTCGATGCAACGGAAATGCGACAGTAAAAAGAGACAAACATATAAATATATAGGATTAAGCCGGCGATAGAATGAGATAGAATACATTGCGATGATGCTATGGTAACCGTTGTCATGGTAACCGTTGTTATTTGATAGAATACATTACAAAGGAAGTGAAAAATAATAAAATTCATTACTGATTATTATGTAATGTTTATATTTATGTCAAATAAAATGTAAAATAACTTTTAAACTTGGTAAAAATAATATAAAAAAATCCTTATGATTATCCTACTCCTGATACTCTATATTCATATCATTTTCTGAAGTTTCACTTCTACGATGTGTGAATTGCACATTTATTTATTTTTTTTAATTTTCCCTAATGCTTATTAACCTCTAATATACCCAATCCTGTGACACCATTTGATGGTGCTAGAATCGTAAACCATAAGTTGTGTGTTCGTCATAAGTCATTGTTATAGTTTTATCAAGTTTATGTTATTTTACGATAAATATTACAATTTTCCTATTTACATAATATAATCTTCTGATAGCGCTCTTATCTAGCGTAAAATAATTTGTGGTAGATAAATAAATATCTTTGAAGAGAACTATTGATTGATGATATGATTTCATAAATCAATAAAAAAATTTTGCAGTATACTTAGTACTTAGAAATTTTGTGCTTTTCCTTTTAGGTTTCTATAATAAAATGACAAATATTGTACATTTATGATTTCGTCATGCCTGTCAGTCTCTCAGTACATTACAAGTAATACATATATATACAAATTCGACTCACCCTCGCTTCGCTCGGGGTCGTCCCTAGGAACATTTTTATTTTTTTGAGCGGAACCCTAATTCTGTAGCATAAGTTACTTCTTATAACATAAACTACCTGCCAGTGAAAGTCTCGTCAAAATCGGCCCAGCCGTTTCGGAGATTAGCCGGAACAAACAGACAGACAGGCAGACAAAAAATTTTAAAATTTTGTTTTTCTTATAAATACCGCATATAATTCCATATGCATTTAGTAAAAAACCGTTATTTTGACATTACAACCAGACACTTTAATTCTATTAATCTGTATAGATAGTATAGTCAGTAGTAGTAAGTTTAAAATACCTTTAGTTTTTACCTACATCTATACATTATAATAAAATCATAACTAAGCCGAATCTGTACATTGAATATTTTTTGGAAATTTTTATTGAAATAGACTTTATTATCGATACAGAGGCCGAATCTATAGTTTTTAGAATTTTTGTCTGTCTATCTGTCTTTCTGTCTGTCTGTCTGTTACCTAGCGCAGCACAGGAAAAGCACTGGAGGGATTTTGATGAAATTTGGTATGGTGATAGCTGGTTATCCGGTTCAACATATAGGATACTTTATACCGCGGAAAAATATCTCATTTCTGAGAAAAAAAAACAAAAACTGCAATGTAAGAGTATACCAATATGTAAAACCTAAGAATTAGGTTTTTCTCATTTGAACGCGGGCGGAGCCGCGAGCAATGCTAGTAATTTAATAATTGTAACTAAATGGATATTTATTAGGGTTAAAATATAATACTTAAAAATTGTTTAATAATATAAAATATTTAATTATATTAAATATTTAAAATAATATTAAATATTGTTTTTGTTTTTAATTTATTTAGAAATATATATTAGAAATCTACGCATAGCTCAAGTTACTAAACTACTTGAGTTGTTTGACACATAGATAGTTACTTGGACGCGCATCCGGTTATGAACGGATTTTTGACGTTCAATCCTTGAAAGGGTGCAAAGGGGGATCAAAATTTTTATGGAGCAATTATATAAGAGAGATATATCGCTTCGAAAATTCACACGGTTACTCCTGCCAACAAATAAACACGTGTTTAGTGCTTTTCCAAAAATAATCCGCGAGGGCATAAAAAGAGGTTAATAGTCTAAAAATCCAACATAGCGCGGGCGAAGCCGCGGACAAATGCTAGTTAGTACCTACAAGATAAATATAGTGCAATTTTTGTGTAAAATATAAATGAAAATGATAGTGGCTATATCACTTACCATACGAATATTTGTTATGAATGTCATGCAAAGTAAGAACTTACGTGAATCGATTTTACTGTTCCATAAAAACATCAAATAAATTTTAATGCATTTAAAAGCATTGCAATGTATCATTATTTCACCTAAATGTTTTACCGATTAATATAATCATTGATAGATAACATTTATCCATGTTTACATTTGTTTATAATAAGATATATTATTTGTATTAATTGTAACGAGTGTAAATCACTTTACACTAACTAATTACACTAACTAAGAAACTGTTATTTGACTAATCCATATTAATATTATCAATGTGAAAGTGTGTTTGTTTGTTTGTTTGTTTGTTTGTTTTTCTTTCACGACAAAACGGAGTGTCGGATTGGCGTAATTTTTTGTGTGAAAATAGTTGAAGGGCTGGAGAATGATATAGGCTACTTTTTATCGCGGGAGATTATCTAATTTCCACGGGAAAACACGTTATAGCACAATCCAAAAAATATTTATGATCTTCAATAAAATTAAATTAATATATGGTTTACGGGGATAAAATAGGAGAAAAAAGTTTGTATGAAACTACCTTTTTAGAGTTTTTTTTTTGTAGTTTTATATAAAAATTATTTTTTGTACACAATAATATAATTTGAAATACTCGTATCTAAAACTACAGACTCAATTTAAAAATTCCTTTCACATATAGGAAGCTACAGCATCGCCGAGAGCTATAAGCTATTTTTTATCAAAATATAAATCATAAAATTTTTCAGATTATGATGATGTGTTCTCTTTCCCACTCACGACATATTCCCATTGACTGTCTTTATCTTATTGACAACTATGTTGACAAACATTGTTAGTGTGGTTCTACACCCGCAGTCTTACAACAATAACTTGAGTAAATGTAATAATATTTTTTAGAATAAACTAATTAAATATTATTTTAGAATAGATAATTTTTATAAATATATTTTTTCAATTGTTTCATAAAATTTTGAAAAAAATAATTTTGAAAAAAAAAAGCAATTTTGAAGAGTGATTCAGTTTATGTCAGACTAGGTCCTGCCAGTGACTGCCCATAGGCAGTTATCTGATAAACACTTTACACACTTATTAGTATGTACTTTTATGAGACACTAGCCACTTACTCTCGCTTCGCTCGGGTGCGTCCCTAGATGCGTTTTAATTTTTTTGAGCGAAACCCTAATTCTTTTCTAAAATAAGAGTACCCTAAGTTATTCCTTATAACACCAGCTATCTGCCAGTGAAAGTCTGTTGAAATTCAATCAAGCCGTTTCGGAGATTAGCCGGAACAAACAGACAGACAGACATAGACAGCCATTTTTTTTTAAAATAATGTCTTTCTTATATGTACCAAATATAATTTCATATTATGCATTTAGTATAAAGCTGTTATTTTGACATTACTAACAGACACTTCAATTTTATTTATCTGTATAATCTGTATAGAATATATAGATAATCTACGAGGAAATTTCGAGATTATAATAAAAGCTTAAAACATACTTTAAATATTATTATTATTTACTTTTACCTGTCCGTAATCGTGCGTAACTCTAGAGATGTTCAACGGATTTAACTGAATCGAAATAAAAAAAAGTTTTCTAAGTTCAGAAGTTGCTGAAATCTTTGTTTTTTTAGGATATCTCATAAACTATCAGATTTTCGCCGACTTTAGCTATTTTAAAGTTAACTAAGTTTATTGTAATTATTTCTTAATTAACACGTTATTTTATATATTTAGTATTTACATAAACATACAGGCTATGTAAAAAAATAAAAATCTAAAAATCATTTGGTTATTCTCAAAGAATAAATCTAATTTTCTTTAACTAACCTTCAAAGTGATAGATTCCAATCATATGAATTGCGATATAAAGTAAAGTGATCGATGAGTCATATTAAAGATATAATAATAAAAAACGCCTAACGATATAACATTACAACTTACGTCTTACATACAGACTACAGTAAGACTACCTACACTACAGAGTCAGTCTTTGGCTAAACGTCGAGCGGAACGGACGTTAATTTTATTTCTGATTAAATCATGTGGTTATTATTGTTTTTGTGTGTATTACCTGCGCACGCGCAAGACCAACCTAGAGTAAATATTACACAAGGAACCATTATAGGATCTAAAGCCACAGACGGTGATTATTTAACGTTCTACGGAATACACTATGGCGGATCCACTGCCGGCGAGAACAGATTCAAGGTATTTTATATTTTTTTTAAACACCTGTAATGAAATAAACGAAACCTCTCCTTTCCTCGTTACATAACAATTCAATATCAATAGCTACTCTAATTATAATGTAATTAAGATTATATATAGGTAAATAATATGTAAAAAATACAGTGTTACCTACCTATACTAAAATCCATACAGTATAAACCATAAACACTTGTTTTTTTTTTTAATTACATAATTACGTTGTAAGCGCAAGCCGTTGTGTTGCTCACTTACTTTTATATAGGTTAGTTTCCGTGTGTATTACAAATAAAGCCATAGAAACAGTTCAAATAGGTTTTTATAGCGTGCATATTCATATAGGTATAGTCATGCGAAATAAGTCCCCATCCCACGTTATGAATATTAATATTGAGTGAAAACTACGTGAATAAATGGTAGATCTTCTAATAGATATCTAAACCCCTCGACCTTTTAATTTACTAATGTCAACAAGACGTAAGGGCAAGGATCAAAACTATAATTGTCAATTATGAAACAGTACACGAAAAATTCGGCAGGTACATTTGTACGTGTATATACCTAATATGTATGATATTATATGGTAACATTTTGTATATATTTTTTTTTGTATTTCTTTGTACTTCTTTTGTATTTAAGTCTAATTCATTTAAATAACATTGAATTGAAAATATAAGTAAATTATAATGTATGAAGTCATTAATATTTATATATTTTTTATAAAATACATTGGTATAAAAAAAAATTATGACCAGAATTACTTGAAACTTGGTACTAATTCTCTTCAATAAAATGTAAGAATTACATGTTTTAGTATTTTTAGAAATTCGTCCTATATAACGGTAAATGGGGATGAAAGTTTGTATGAAACTAGCTTTTTAGATATTTTTTGTAGTTTTAGCGCGAGCGAAGCCGCGGGTTCTGCTCGTATGTTTATATAAATTTTTTCGTGGATCTCAGAAACGGCTCCAACGATTTGGATCATATTTAGTCCTTACATAAGGTTTTGCTTTTTAATTGTATCTATAGGTAGGTAAGGTGTATTTTCTAAAAAAAAGTAAATTTTTATATCTTTCCGAAAAATGCCAAGTGAAGCTTGGTCGTCCAGGTACTAGGACTTATTAAGAGTATCCAACATGTTAATTTTACGGTGGCATGAAATTTGGTACGTCATAAAATACCTATGATATAATTATATCACAAGGTCTTTGTTTTGTTGTTGTTTTTACTTTTGATAGTACTTCTTACAGAAATATAGTGTTTGAATGTAATTACTGAGGTTTAAAGCGACGAGAATGCAATATACGTTTAACTAAGAATTTTTCCGGTGTGCGGTTTTTGTATTGCCATTATTTGGACTGATGACCTACACTGGTCTTTTAAATAAGGTTTGGTTTTATTTACTCTATCGGCTATGAAATTTAATAGATCAGTTGTTATCAAAAACTACGTTCGAACGTATTGGAACCTATTTTAAATTTCTTTACGAATTTGTATATCATCAAAATCTTCAAAATTTTAATAATAAAATGCCCTAGCTTACATATATTGAGGCGCGTTTTTGCTTGTACACTACTCATATTAATCTATATCAAACGATTTTAACAAATATAATAAAGTTTTACTAATCTAAAGAGGTTTGCGCATTGATAAGACTTACTAGAATGAGGTCACTCACTGTATATCTATACATATAATAACATTGTAACTAAGCCGAATCTGTACATTATATATTTTGGAAAATCTTATTAAAATAGACATTATTATCGATACAGAGGCCGAATCTATAGTTTTTTGAATTTTTGTCTGTCTGTCTGTTACCGCATCCCAGAAAAGCCACTAGACGGATTTTGATGAAATTTGGTATAGTGATAGCTGGTTGTCCGGGTCAACATAGAATACTTTTTTCCGCGGGAAAATGTCTAATTTCTGAGAAAAAAATACAAAAAACTGCTATGTAAGAGTATACTGATATGTAAAACCTAAGAATTTGGTTTTTGGTAATCTGAATGCGGGCGGGGCCGCGAGCAATGCTAGTTATTAATAAAATTCACTGAAGTAGCGTTGATTGAAGTACTGTTGATGCATATCTTTGAAGGTAATAATAATATTATGATAGGTAATAAAAGGAAACTTAGAATCAAACTAAATCTTAATTTTTTTTAAATACAATAATAACGTACACTAATTAATTCAAACAACAAGTCATGTCATTGCAGAATCGTGGCAAAAATGCTGGCACTTCCCCGCTGAATCGCAATGCCTTCAAATTCTTTGAACGAAAAACAAGGCCTCGTTATCACCGGTAGACGTGATAAGACGAGGTGTGATGTCTTTTAAAATGTTTTTAGTACTCTGACTTCCTGGGCCATTCTTTGCCCTTCATGGGTGTAAGCTGTAAAACTTATAACACCTCGATGTAAATTTCTATCTAAGAAATTAATTAAAATTCTAAGAAATCTATTGTTAACTGACACGCCGGCGTGTCCGCGGTCGTGGAGGGATTAATGGAATAATTGTATCTATGCCAAGGATTCCTCCTGTAAAGGTCACAATTTAAGCGATTCAGATTTTTTACTTTAAATAGTGAAATTAATAGTTTCTGCTTAAAATCATTAACTATACAATTAAAACGTAATTATTTTCAAATTATGATATTTCTTATAGTTTTGGTAATCATTTACCGTTTGATTAACTTAACGCTTTTACCTAATTTAATATTAATTAATACTTTGATGAACATTAAATTTACTTATTTTCTACTTATATAATAGGTAGTAACATATCTAATTTGTTATAAGCGACTCACCCTCGCTTCGCTCGGGTTCATCCCTAGGTTGTTTCCCCATACCAACTTTCATCCTCATTTTCACCCCCTTATGGAATGAAAATATATATCTTATATCCGCTATAAAAACTATCCTATGACCTTGCCAGAGTCTCAAACAATCTTCTTACCAAATTTCATCAAAATCAGTTCAATAGTTCCAAAAATAACTTCCCACAAACCAACTCACAAACTTACGAACTTTACCTTTTTATAATATTAGTATAAGATTTAACTAAGTAAAAACATTAATTTTTAATAATTGTCTTTTATTAATATTTTATTTTCAGGCTCCAACAGAGCCTCCTAAATATCCTGGAGACTTCGTTGCTATAAATAGTGAAGTGATTTGCGCCCAACCATCAACCAGAGGAATAATCGGCACAGAAGACTGTTTGGTACTTAACATCTTCACAAAAAATATAACCACTCCTAAACCTGTGTTTGTATGGCTCGAAAGCGAAGCATATGAAACTACAACTAATATGTTACATAGTTACAAAACTTTAATACAAGAGGGTTTACTTGTTGTGACCATTAACTACCGTCTGTCCATTTTTGGTTTTCTTTGTCTTGGTGTTCCTGAAGCACCTGGTAATGCAGGATTAAAAGATGTTATACAAGGCCTGCAATGGATTAAAGAAAATATAGCAGCTTTTGGTGGAGATCCTAATAACGTAATGCTTGCCGGTCATGGATCCGGAGCCGCTATGGTGGATTTAATTACCTTGTCACCATTGTCCAAAAATTTAATTCACAAAGCCTTAGTTCTCAGTGGATCTGGTTTGGCTTCTTGGGCGGTATCTTATGACCCTATAGGCTATGCACAAAAAGTCGGCGGGAAAATGGGATACACGAATAAATCTCCAAGTGAATTGGCAAAATTGCTTTCCACTACCGATTTAGGAGTACTTAATGGTGTCCTAACGGATTTCGAATTTTACAATAACACACCTCTTTTTGCCCCTTGTGTTGAAAATATCAAGTTAAATGGATCGTTTCTTCATGATGCCCCAATTAATATATTAAGATCTAAAAACTACAATGACATTCCATACGTTGCTGGGTATACAGACAGGGAAGGAACAATGCGAGCTGAACAAGTAGTGGCTAGAAATTGGCTAACAGAAATGCAAAACAAGTTTGAAAACTTTATACCTGTGGATTTAAATTTTGAGAACAGCGAGGTAAAAACAAATGTGAGCAATCTTATTAGAAAATTCTATTTTGCTGAGAGATTTATTAATATGGAAACTATTGAAGATTTCTTGGACTATCAAGGAGATACTTTAGTATTTATACCTATTACAAGAGGAGTGCTTGCACGTGCGCTAACTTCAAATGCAAGTGTAAGAATATTTGAATTCGCTTTTCGAAATGCCCAGAATACTGATTGGTTATATCCACAAATCCCTGTAAATGGAGCGAAGCATGGCAGCATTCGGGACTATTTGTTCAATTCCAATCCCAGTATTCATGATCACAGCGCAGTTACTGCTGTCATAGGACACATTGTTGCATTCGCTCAGACAGGGTAAGTATACATAATAATTTATTAATAATCCATATCCATACTAATATTATAAATATGAAAGTGTGTTTGTTTGTTTGTTTGTCTGTCTTTCTTTCACGTCGAAATAGAGTGACAGATTGACGTGATTTTTTATGTGGAGATAGTTGGGGGGGGGCTGGAGAGTGACATAGGCTACTTTATACCGCGGGAGATAATCTCATTCCCACGGGAAAACACGTTATAATACAACTCGAAAATTATTTATGAGCGGAATTACTTGAAACTTGGTATTAATCCCTACACGACCGCGGACACGCCGGCGTGTCAGTCAACAATAGATTTCTTAGAATTTGGATAAATTTCTTAGAAATTTACCTGGAGGTGTTAATGGTGTTCGATACAATTAAATAAATAAGTGTTTTAGCATTTTTCAAAATTCATCCCATAAGGGGGTAAAGTAGACTTAGTCTTACCGCGAGCCGAATCCGAAAGAAGAAACCGAGGGTTCTGCTAGTGTTATTTAATGTAAACTTCAATTTAAACGTAAATATACAGAAGTGATTTAAGTATCGTTAAGGTTTGATAACATGGAGTAAATTATTCATTTAACTACATTTATTTTTTACTTTATTTATTTATTTTTAAGGCTCTGTAACCAAAAGTTTAAGGTTTAAGCACCATTATGAAGCTTAAATCTCCCGACCTTCTTCTCTCCGTCTACCTGTTGTACATTTACCTATTCTGTTTTTGAGACACATACTTGTAAGTTGTACGTAATAAGTTAATGCAGAAAAAAAATGAAACAAAGGCAAAAGGGTCATAAAAATTATTATTATATTTTTGTTATTAATTTATGTGTAATGTGCTTCTAATAGTAACAATATTCTAATAGTATGTAATTTTTTTAGGTCTCCAGACCCGAATAATTTGATACAATGGTTACCAGTACAAAATACGTTGGGTACACTTTATATAAGTGGTGGAGGGGTTTCCCCAAATGTCACTGCCTTCAAGGAAGAATTTTATGCGCGCAGCAATGAAAGAGTTGATTTTTGGGATAAAATCATACAAGAACGGTATCAGCCCCCAAAACCCGTGTCATCTGCTCGGAGTTTGGTCAGCTTTGGACTTATCGTTTTATTAACTCAAACGCTACTAAAGCTTCTTTCAATGAGTTAATTGTTTTTGCAAAGTTGTGTTCTTTTGTATTCGAAATAAAGGAAAAACGAAATTTCTGACAAAAATTAAAAGCAAGCATTTATATAACATTCGTGTTTAGAATTAGTAAGTAAAGCCGGCATTTCATTAATTTTATATAAGAGACAATACCATTTATAAGTATTAATATTATCACTACTGAGTATGAACTTACACTACACGTAGATACAGACTTACTTCATTACATTTATATTCTTTAAGACTTATCACACATCATAAACAAAATTTTGAGCATCATATTTGCAAGAAAAATAAATATAAATAAATGTGAAGTATAATATAAATACTCAGAAACTGATAAAATGGCTACCTGAGTATTTTTACTTAAGAATGTCTTAAAATGAATATATGGTAAACCGAAATTCATTTGCTTTCATAAAAAATATAATAAAACTAAGCTACCATGAACATTTTTCTTGTATCATGTTTTTAAGCTCAGTCAAAGATCTTTTAATTTAATTTTCCTGTTCTGTAACTCAGTCCTTGGCATTTCAAACACAAGAATAATCTGTGTGTAGATACAGACGCTAATTTCCACGATAGCTGTTATATCTATTCAGGCGGACCGGCCTTACCGTTATGCAACTACTACGTACGAGCCGGTACGCCATTTTACAGTTTATTACGCCTATTAGTTCCGTAAGTTTATAAATATTTAATAAAAGCCTGAAAAATTAAGTGTGTAATTGAATGTTAGTATCAAATATTACCAGAAAGTACTTTGTAAAATACCGTTCTTTAGTTATATAAGTATTAATGTTGATTAAATTTTAAATATTATTTGCTTTGCTTGATTTATTTGCTTTGTTTGGTTATTATTATAAAAAACATTTTCTTACAATTTTGATAATTTCCCTGCTAACATTGATTTTCTTACTTACCTGCAAAGAGAAAAATAATATATTAAATTGAAGTTCAAACTAGGAACAATCTTTAAAACATAAAAATAGCACGATATCGAATATTATAAACTGATGTAATATCCAATGCTTATATATATTTATTGTTAATTATGTATTTACCATGCTTTCAAAAGCAAAAGTATTATATTTTATTAAAGTATATAATATTGTCTATAAGTAGTTATATTTTTTTAATATTATGGATTATTAAAATGTTACAGACGTAAAATGCTAGCTAAGTACAGAAATAATTTGCGAAAAATCTATACTATAATAAAACAGTAGAGGTCGAATGTCTGTACATAGCAAAAAATGCGAAAAACCGAGTCAGGGGGGTGTAAGAAGACAAATAGAACAAATCCAGATTTTATTCATTTTTTTTGTTTCTCTGTTTGTTTGTCTGTTTGTACGGGCTAATCTCCGAATCTATTAAACCGATTTAAATGAAATTTTGCAAGGTGGTACCTAATATCCCCGGGCAACATCTTAGATACTTTTTATCCCGGAAAATTAAAGGGTTCCCGTGGGACAGTCAAAAAACTATTGTAACTTATACAGCTTAGTAAACAAAAACTACTGATTGGATTTTGATGAAACTTTACAATAGGAAATAAATAATAAGGAAATAGAAATAGGTCATACATCAGAATAACAATTAGGTTACGTTTTATCCCGGAAAAATGTGCGGTTCCCGTGGGATAGATGTTTTCGTTTATTTGTAACGTATTATGTACACAACATAAACCCCAAAATCAAAAAAAAAACTGTTTCTCTGTTTGCCTGTATGTATGTTTGTCTTTTTTTGTATGCGCGTTTCACGCGAAAAGTAATGAACCGATTTCAACGTTTGGTGAAGTGATAACTTATTACTCGAGTCAACGTTTAGGATACCTTTTACTTCAAGAAAATCTTTCTTTCTCACGGGAAGATACAATAACTGGTTTCATCGAGTCCTCCCTAGAAACCTTCCGCTGGCTAAACCTTAAGACATACAAAACAATATACAAAAAAATTGTAGGACTTGAAAAGTCCTACAGGAAAGTTCTGAATAGTATATGTATATCTCCTAAGCAATATCTATTCTTATCTATCTATAATAAAACTAACTTATTCAAATCGATGTGCGCGTGCTAAATTTAGGATACCTTATACGATAGGCAAATTATTCATTCCCACGGGAAAACAACTAACTGGTTCTATCGAATTGTCCTTAGAAATTTATATGGCTAACGCTGGCTCAACCTTAAGAGATAGATCAAAACATTGTACAAGAAAATTGTAAGTCTTAAAAAGGTCGATAGAAAAGTTCTCAATAGTATATGTCTATCTCCTAAGGTACACTCGCTATAACTATTTTCATTGTTATATATTATTGTTTTATTATACGTTAATTATCCTATCTATAATATAATAAAAATGTAGAGGTCGAATGTCTGTACGTAGAAAAAAAATGCTAAAAACCGAGTCGGTTATCTTCTCACATCCCGTAAGAAGAAAAATAGAACAAATCCACATTTTTTCATTTTTTTTGTTTCTCTGTCTGTTTGTAGGGGCTAATCTCCGAAACTGTTGGACCGATTTAAATGAAAATTTGCATGGTGGTACATTATATGCCCGGTCAACATCTTATATATATATATATATATATATATATATATATATATATATATATATATATAATATTCAATCTTCTTTTTTCTTTTTAAGAATCAATATCAAACTTCAAAGTCGTTAAGCGTCCGCACAATGTTATTAGTACGGCTTATAAATCCTTCTTGCAAGCCTCCCCGAGAAAGCTTAATCTAAAAGCTGAATATTCCCTGATTATATATTATAGTTGTTTATTTTATTATAATTTTATAATATTGAATTTTCTACAGAATAAGCATAAAATTAAAAGTTTGTAAAATTTTAATACATTATGTATAGAAAAAAAATATATTATAAAAATAATAAACTCGACTGCATAAATGCTAACTAAAAAGATGAAAACAAGTTCACGAAGGAATATAGTATTATGTAGTCCTTGGGCTTCGCTGCAGTCGAGTAAAAAGACGACAGTGTAATCACAAAGTATACTAAGACCAAATTGCCCCAAAACTACAAATAGAAATGTTATTACATGACAATATTTTTTCCGCGGAGAATGAAAAAAGTTGTTCCATAAATGTGGTTTATGTTCCCAGCATCTGGAATTTTATGTCTAAGAACAAGAATCTTAGAAATGCTATCAAATATATTCAGCTAAAGGCCGTTTTTGTTTGTGAAGTTCATATCACAAAGTCACGTTTTATGGACGGCTCTTATACGACATTATATATACGTATATTAGCAACTCACCCTCGGGTTCGTCCCTGGTGAAAATTTAGGTTTGTATGTATTTTTAATGCCGAATCATAAAAAAATGAAAATAAAAATTTTTGTCCAAAAAATAAAAATAAAAATTTGGACTGGACCAACCTTATCATTTAGGGATATGAAAAATAGTTTACGTCCTATTCTCAGATCTACTGAATATACACACAAAATTTCATGAGAATCAGTCAAGTCATTTTTAGATTTATGTTATACAGCGACTCACCATCGCTTCACTCGGGTTCGTCCCTATGTATCTATATAATAATAAATTATTTGGATATTAATCATACAAAAATACTAAAATTGCGATTAAGAAATGAGGGATGAGGGTAGGAGGGTGAAAAATACTTTACGACCTATTCTCATACCTACCAAATATACAAAAAAAAAAACAATAAAATCGGACCAGCCGTTTCGTAGTTGTGCAACCACAAACATCGTGACACGAGATACTTATATATTAGATGTTCGAATTGTTAGATTCGAATTAAATACATAAATACCTATATTATTAAATTGTTCTATGATATTTTAATCTTTTTAGTGGTTAAAAAGCCTATAATGAAGCTTAAAATAATTTTGTCGGTTTGAAGATACTCTCGAGATGATAAGATGCGGATACAAAACAGAATATTATACATTCAAGGTAAATACACAAGAAAATATTTTAGTTTGTTTTCTACATACGACAAACTCTTAAGAATTCTTTTACATTAAAAGGGTATAAAACCAAACAGTCTGTAGTAATTTTTATCGTTACATTTTGTTTTGTCGCTTCCATCCATATTTACGTTTAATCTTGCTTTAAAAGATATAGTTTATTCTAAATAAAACAAAGTTTAAATTTCCAGTGTTAATTAATTTCGTTTGTAAACTAACCGAGACTGTTTAGGTCAGTGACTGTGCGTCAGGTAATGCCCGAAGACCAAACAAAATAAAATGTATACAAAATTTGCATCAAAACTGTAAATTTGTTAAAATTATACCTATATCATACAAACATACTCACTATGCCTTTAATTTTTAGCAGTCCTTACTCAACACGTTATGTCCAATAAGCAAAAAATTAAAGCAAAATGGAGAGAAAGTACGCTACTCTTTCCTAATCGCGAAGGATAGAGTCAATAATCTCAACCAAATATCCATATTTCTATGTAACCTTTGTTCTACTAAATTTTTCGAGCGGTACCCTACTCCTTTTCTAAAATAAAAGTAGCCTAAGTTACTCCTTATACCATCAGCTGTCAGTGAAAGTACCATCAAAATTAGTCCAGCCGTTTTGGAGATTAGCCGGAACAAACAGACAGACAGGCAAAAATATAATTTCATAAGGAGTTAGTAAAAGGCTTTTATTTCGATATCACAAACAGACACTTCAATCTTATTTTTCTATGTAGATTAACGTATAAATGAGACTAAAAATATAAAGAATTATTAATATTAGCATTCAGCAAAACTGTGTAAAAGATAAGACAAATATCTCGACCTAACACCGTCGCAAAGGTTATTAAGAAATAGCTTTTTCCCTTTCTATCTGCACAGGTATTTTCTTTTGTAATCTGTTTTGCTTCGAATTCGCTGGCGTCTCTCCTGTAATATAGAATAGAATGAATTTTGCACCCTAATATTTTCAGAAGTACAGTCATGTAATTTTTGGGTAAAATTCGATGCTATTTCTTGCTTGCCCGAGCTTGAAAA